CCCCCGCCGTCCTGACAGGGTCCCTGCACGGAGCAGGGGCGGCTCAGGCTTCCCTCCATACCTCGGGGTCTCGGGGGTTCTTAATTAAACACCCCTGAGCTGAATGAAAAAGGGTTCCTGGGGGTCATTTTTTCTAAACTTCATTAGAGTTCTCTAGACGAAGTGGGCTTGGCTGCAGTGGGGAATAAATTGGCTGGGTATGAAATCAATTATGTAAAGGCCCAAAGTAAATCCGTAAGGAAAAATCCCAAGTTATTTTGTTTTTTCCCTTGCCTGTCATTCTGAATGTTTGCAATAGTGGCATCTAGCTTGTCCTGAGGGGTCAGTGTGAGTAGAGCCCTAATGTGTGTTTCTTATCTAAGCTGCAGTGAGAATTCTGAGATATGAATATTCAGCGTTTCTGTTATATTACTGCTTAGCAAAACGCAAGTACAGTGTTCCTATAACATCTCATTTCCATACTGCACTAAGTTGATGGATTGCAGTTTGAGTATTTGTTTCTTTTTCAAGATAGTGATGCAATTTCAGTGGTTTTAAATGGGGACCAATGCTTCCCTCAGTTTAAATCTTGGAAATAACAATTTCCCCCACCTTTTTCTGCTTCCCGCCAAGTCCTAGGCCTACAAACAATTTGTTGACCAGCACAGGGCTGGGAGTTCGTGTTACCATCACGAATGCTTGCTGCTCAATTCTGATAGCAGAAGTTTGGTTTGTTTTGTTCCTTGTTTTCAAAATAGTAGGTGCATTAAAACTTCTAGGTCAGTTTAATTCTGTCTTTATTCAGTGCCTTTGGATTTATTTTGGAGCTGGGAGGTTTGTTTCAGTATAGTGATTTTTGGATTAATTAATGGTATGTTAATATAATATAGACATGTGTCTTTTTTAATCCATATCTGTTTGCCTTTACCTTAAACACCTGTTCTGTGTGAGGCCACAGGGGAGGATGATGAGTAGGTAGGATGCTCTCCTGGTTTGTTCTTTGGTGTAACATGTGAAGTTCAGCTGTGCTTTTTTAGTTGGAGTGTACCTAATTTGCAATCCAGTGCTTCTTTCTTCATGTGGTAAGTGTGCTGTGTTCTGAGCTTGACCTTTGTTTTTAGCATGACTGTACAGGCTGCCTCTGTTGTTTGACAAACAACTCCTTGTAAGCTAGTGCTGATTTTCTCCAGCAACAGGAAGTGCTCCCTGACAGTATTTGTGTCAGATGGTTAGTCCTGTAAAGGACGTCAGGGAACACGAGAGAGCAGAGGACTGAGGACTCAGCCTCTCAAGTAATGTAGCTGTTGAGGTGTAACGACTGCATTTCACCCAGTATGGGGTGGACTGTAGACCTGGGACTGTTTGGGTCTTGTTTCTTTCAATCTTTTAGCCATGAAGTGATCAACATCAATCTGAAGAACAAACCTGACTGGTTCTTTGAGAAGAACCCCTTAGGGCTGGTTCCTGTTCTGGAGACCAGCAAGGGCCAGCTGATCTGTGAGTCCCCAATCACTTGTGAATATTTGGATGAAGCATTTCCAGGGAAGAAGTTGATGCCTTCGGACCCATATGAGCGAGCCTTTCAGAAGATGCTCTTGGAACAATTCTCAAAGGTATTGCATGATTAGGGTGGGATTGTGTTTCTTCACCAAAACCTGCAGCTCTGTTGATAATGCTGCTTTCATCCATTAAGAGGCAGGTCTTGTGTCTGAGGAATGCTTTTAAATAACCAGAGGTGTTATTTGGATTTTCTTGCTGTGAGCACATAGAAACCACTGTGGGGATGGATGCAGGAAGACAGCCAGGCTAGTGAAAGAATATGTGATTGAGGCAGGATTTTGAGCATCCTGTGGTGGAGCAAAGGTTTATAGACCAAACCAGCTGAATGCTTGAGACCTGAGCAGTGGTCACTGCTGTATTTTAATCAGAGTCTTTCTGTAGGAAGTACTGCATGCACGTGGAATGTGAAGAGTGCCTGGCTGAGGGGTGGCAGATGGCTGTAGACATGGAACATGTATAAGGAGATTGATTTTTGCTCTCGGTAGGAGTTGGAGGAGGTCACTGCAGCTGACTGGAAGTAACCCCTCTGTGCAAGCATGTGCTTTGAAGGGTCTAGGAAGTGAAAGAGGTCAGCTTGGGCGTGAGGCAGCGGAGAAGAGGGAACAACGAAGGTGCAAGATGCGGACGAAGGAGGATGGAAGGGAGGATATATTTACAACAGGCCTTTTTTGAATAGGTGTGATGGGAAGGGGGCTACAGGGAAGCATGCTGCAAGGAATGAAATGTGCACTGAATGTTGGTTGTATGAATAACACAGTCCTTGAAAAATGTATGTTTATGAGCTTTTAAGAATATAATTTAGTTAAGCTTGGCCAATGAGCAACTTCCTGGTGCTGTATGCTAATTTCTCTGGCAGTGACCACATTAGAAAATGCACAGGTTTGTAGAAGCTTGCATACCCTGGGCTGCATAGCCCTTTCTTACAGTACCTTAAACATTGAAAATTTAAGTGCATTTGGATTTCAGAAATACGTAACTGGGACAAGTTACCACTCTGCACCTTGCTGCTTTTATTGCTACTTTTTTTGGTAGCAAATGGGAAGCATGCTGCTCTTTTCATTGTTCTTTTCTTATTGCAAGACTACAATTCATTAGTATTTGCATTTGTTCTTCCTTTAAGCCTTTGCTTACATTATCTGAATCATAAAAGATTTTCGTTAATGGGCTTTATATATTTCTTTAAAACTAAATCTTTAAGTTTTAACTTGCATCTAGTATCTTAACATCTTGAGCTCTGAGTGACTTGTATTATTGTAATAAGAACATTAAAAACTTTATCCTTTCCTTTGTATAGATACCACCCATAGCTTTCAAGTATTTTGTGGCAGTCAAAGATGGACAGGATGCCACGGCGCTGAAAGCAGAGATTGCTGAAAAGTTTGGCAAACTTGAAGAGGTAAGAGTATTTCATGATAATGAGCAGGTGGGCCGTTGGTGTATGATCCCTTGTTTCTTTCATGCTTTGGCCTTTGGAACTAGTTCTCTTGTCACTCAGTTGGTAGTTACAGAAGTGAGGAATCTCAACATTTACTGGCCCCAGCTGCGGATGCACAACAGCGCCGTTAGAATAAATTCATAGTAGCTAACCTAAATTTCATCTGTATGATGAAGTCTCTGGGAACTTGTGGAGTTATTTTGATTCTAGCTGACTACTGTTGTCTCAAGTATCTTTGGTGTGCTTTAAATGTAAGAAGCCCTTGCAGCATGTTCTAGGAGCAAGGGCTGAGGGGTCCAAGCTGATGACCAGCATCTGTGCTGTAGCTCTGCTGAAATCAGTGCAGATAGACTGCTGATGAACTAAATCTGGTTTTGTTCAACAGCTTATTTTAGTGAGGTGGGGGGAAGTAGAATGCAATCTGACCCTTGCAGAAATCCAGCCCTGGGCTGTGTTCTGCAACAGTGGTGTAGTACAACTTCAGCAGAGCTCCAGGAAGTGTCATGTGGCTTTGATGCTCTGTTAGCAGATTCACCATCCTGATTGAGTGTCAGTAGCAGTTCTTGGCCAGTCTGAACACCAACCAGACTTGGTTTTATCATGAACCCTTTCCTTTTGTGGTTTTATCAGCCATGGGTAATGCTTGTCTGGCTTGATCAAGAAGCATCCCTCCATGGTGTTTCTCTTCAGCTGTGAGGCTACCAATAACTTTCTAGTACTTTCATAAATCTAGCAGTCCTGTGCATTCTGTTTCTCCACTCACCCCACCCTGAGCTGTCAAATTGTTTTCAGGTTACTCTTGTCTGTCTGATCACACTGATGCTGAAGTAGTGCAGATAACAAATATGTTCTTGGGGGAAGCCAAGCGTGTTTCACTTCCCCAAAATACAGATTTATTAACCCATTAATCTTCATTCTGCTTTGTTAATGCTGTGAAATACCTGCTGCTCCTTCAGTGTCTCTACTTTACTATACCCTGAAGGATTTTGCAGCAGCAGCAGCTGAAGGTCGTTTGAGGATGGGAGGGAGGAGGAGAGCCATGCACACTTCACTCGGCCTGTTGCAGGAGATGCTCAAGAAGGGGAGCGTTTTGCAACACTTGGGTGTTTAGTCGCTGCTGCCCGACAGAGGGAGCTGTGTTCCTGTCGCGGCAGCTGTGCAGCTGTGGGCTGTGTCTTGCCGGGCACCGAACAGCTTGATGCTTCCTGACGGACTGCTTTAAAATTTCATCTGGAGCACGCGGGCTAGGGGAGTAAATGCCATTGGAGTATAGCGTTGTGAGTTCAAAAAGGCAAAGGTTTGCAAGTTCTCTTGAGTTCCACCTTTAAAATGCCAAAATGCCTGAAAACAAGGGGACTGGTCTCATGAGAGAAGAGGCCGAGCCCTGGAGATTCTGCAAGGCGTGTTAAACTTGGATGACCATGGCACTTGAAAAGTAGCAGAAACATAAATGTAACAGGAGATCTTGCTGCGTTCTTTGTGGCTGTGCTTTCTGTGCAGAGCTGTGGGGATCTCCTGGTGGCTGTGGGTGTGACACTTGCTTCCCTTTGCACCTGAAATCAAATCCGGTTCTAGGTGTAATATTAGAAATGCTTTCCTGACACCACTCGGACTCCAGTGCCATGGGAAAAGCCTATGCTAAGATGGTGTTTAGTCTACCTGGATGTGAAGTTTGGCTGGATTTTTTTGCTCAAGAACTGCATGTACATTGTTACATTTGATTAGTCTGTGCCATTAATGCTTTTCAGGAAGGAAGAAGTAGTGAACCGTCAGATTCTGAGAGTGAAATTCCTTTTTGTTTGGGCACAAGCTGCAGCTTGCTAGCGATTAATAGTTTGTGACAGTTCTTGAACCCTTGGAGAAGAGTTGGGCTGACTGTATGAAAGAGTTAAGCGTGATCCTACAGCTGCTTTACTGACTAGCTCAGACTCCCCAGATACTGCATGTTCAGGAGGAATGTGCCACGTCTCCATTATTGGCTGTCGATCCCTTCAGTCTGTCTGCATTCCACTACAAAGTGGGCTTTTGTTGCTGTGGGGTTCTGCTGTGGCAGTTTCCCTTCTGAGCCCAGCTCTACTTCCTCGGCCCGCAGGTTCTGTCCAAGCGCAACACTCTGTTCTATGGTGGGGACTCGGCCTCCATGCTTGACTACCTCATCTGGCCCTGGTTTGAACGTCTGGAACCATTCCAGCTGAAGGAGTGAGTACCTTGCCCACCTTCTAGGGTGTACTGACGTGCCTTGCCATAAATATTCTTTGCCTGTACTCTGCAGCAATGTGCCACTCTTAGGGGCTGCTGAAGAAAGTTTGTATTGTGTTACAGGTTAGGGGAAGCATCTTCCCAAAAAATAGTCTCACCCCCTAGTGCCCAAACCATCCTTGAAGAAGAAGACAGGCACAGGTGATTGGGCACTGTAAAGTGAGGGCTTTACTGCTGGCTTGCTGACCTACTTTATCTACTGTGTGGTCCTTGATTGGAAGGGGAAATACTAAAAACAATCCAGGAGTATAGGTCTGGAGTCATGAAGGTATTTGTGTGACTGAGGATTGGAGTGAGCTATTGTATGCTAAGAGAAGATGCTTTCTGGGTAAGGGTAAGGGGTTATCTGGAAAACATAGGCATTAAGTGAACTTGGGAGTTGGAAACTGTCATGCAGAGTACTTGGGTCACTCTGCCAGATGATAATGATAGTAGCTTCTGTTACACTGTTAAGCTTTCAATTTGCCACATGGTGTTTTGGTGGTTGTTGGTTTGTTTTTTTTTTCCAAATGTGTCAGAGCAGGTTTGTGAATTTAGTCTGTTAGCTGAGTCCTCAGTTTCTTCAACAGACTGTGATAGCCTGTGTCTGTGTCTTGAGCTTCTGCGTTGCAGGGCAGACTGCACAGCTTGTCTTGGTGTGCAAGAGAGAGCAGAGAAGACGTCTGTGGGTTGTGAAGGAGGACCCAACCACTGCATGCAGCATTTGCTTCAGGGCTCACCACTAGCAAAGTATTCCTGAGGGAGGCAGTAGTGCACAAATCTCTGCCCTCGCCTCAGAGCTGTGTGTTTTGTAGCCAGGATAACATAAGCAGAACCATACTGATATGCACAATAAGCTCTCGTTTGTGTTTTGCTCAGCTTTGCAGAGTGCAAAAGGTCTGTAAGAACTTTCACTTTCCAAATGCTAGTCTGTCTTCTGTGATCTGATACATATTTCTGTCACCTGCTCTTAGCTGAACTTTATACTTGGAGGGAGAAAGCAAAACAAGCGGTAAAATAGAAATGCTCAAGCTGTTTTGCTTCCTTGATGCCCTCCAGCTTTCCCACTGATGTTACTTGGTCTCTTCTCTTTTCCTGTAGCTCCCTGAGTCACACCCCAAAGCTCCAACGCTGGATGGAGGCCATGAAGGAGGACCCTGCTGTCAAGGCTACAGTGACTGACCCACAGACATACAAAGACTACCTCCAGCTCTATTTGAAGAACAGCCCTGAGGCATGTGATTATGGGCTCTGAGGTGCCAGCAGACACGTGCTTGCAAAGTGTCAGTGCTCCTTTTCAAGTGTGAGCTGTGAGGATCTAGGGTAATTTGGTGTGGGCTCTTCTTGGTTGCTTTTAATAATGGGGAATAAATCTGTGCTGAAAAGGCTGAGAAATCTTCTGTGAACTCCAGTCCTTCCTGTCAGGAGGAGGACGTGCTGGCTTTGGACAGGAAGTGGAAAGTAATTGTGGGCCATATAGTGTGAAGGAAAATGTGGCTTTAGTCGGAGGTGATGTTCTGTTATCTCTGACCTCTTTGCAGGCATTGATGTTGGGCAGTCCCTGAACTGACACAGATACTTGGTTTAAAAATTGTAATGCTGGTGTCTCTGAAAATAAATAAAAAGCAAATAGTGCTGTCTTTAAACACAGTTTTTCCTTTGGCTTTCCAGGCAACTCTTGTCACTGGACTGGTTGTGCAGAGAGGAGCAAGGGACTACAAAGACTGAAGTAGATAGTGTGGTCTCTACAGTTACTTAGTACAAACTGTCCTGCTCTTCAGGAAGCACTATTGCCAAACCACTGAACTTGCAACCCTACCCACCTACCCCTGCTGAAGTGACATATGCAAGGACCGTCTCCTAATGGCTTCCAGTTAGGACTAGCTATGCTGGGGGAGCCTGTGGTTAGTTATGATCCTTCTCTGCCCTTCTGAAGTAGGGTCATATTTATTCTAGGCACTAACCTCAACTATCCTGAAGCCTGGAGTAGGCAGTAATGCAAACAAACTGTCCTGAGCAGAAGGACATTTATTTTCTGTTCTGCTCCAGAACTCAAAGCATTGCTGTACTTGTCAAGATGTAGGTGAAAGCAGAGAACTAAAGTAAAGGAGTTCAGTCAGAGCATTATGTACTGGTGGTGTCTTGCTGCTGGTGAAAGAATGGGTATGTTCTGTTCCAGCAGGTAAATGGCAGAATCGGAGCTCTGCAGCTGGACATCTTTTGATGCAATACTACATGCTAATAGAGCTGAGTGGGTACAAGATTATTTGAATCAAAAATAGTCACAGGAAAGACTTTTCTCTTTTTTCTTTTTTTCTTCTCCACATAGGGGATTAAAAGAACTATGACCCACTCTGATGTTGCTCAGCTGTGATTGTCTTTCTCTGTCAGACCACTAACAACCTGAACTAGCCATAATTCCAGGGAATACGCATGCAGAGAGAAGTAAGGCAAAGCTGTGTGCCCAGGACAGGGCTGTGGTTCCTGTGGTGCCGAGGGGGTTAACATGAGATACAGAAGACTGTTCCTCTCTGTCTCCCACTGCAGTGAGGTGAGGTAGCAGTGCAGGAGGTAGTGGTCTTTCAGCTTGTGGTTATTGGATGGGATTGTTTATGCTCTTACTGGCCTTAATTCAAACTGTTCAGCTTTTCCCCTCCTGTTTATCTCTGTGGCTTTTAAGCACATCTGGCACTACCTAGAGAAATACTAATTACTCTGCTGTTCCATCCAGAATGCTGATGTTCTTGAAAAAATTGCCCAGTCCAGATCTGATGCTGTACTCATAGATTGTCATGAGAGAACCCAGAGGAGGTGTAGAGCTGTGAGGTGTGTTTTGAGGGTGTGGATCTGGGCTGTTTCCTTGGGGGAAAGCAGAATTTGAGCTTCAGAAAGCCATTATGCCTCAAGTGGTGTTGCTGGGATCTCAGTGACAATCTTCCGAGAATTAACTGCAGAACATTTTGGTTTTATTAGCTGCTCTGCTTTGTGCAGGGCTTCGTGAAGTTGTTAGTATAGTAGGCTCTAAGCTGGCTTTTATATACATGACAGAAATAAGTTGTAGTGTGCTCCATTGCATTCTCCCTGACATCAGGGAGATCCAGTAATGAATTAAGAGCAGAGACTGGCATCCAAAAACTGAAAAGGCTAGGGCCAGACCATGGTAATCCAGAGATGCTGTTGTCCAAAGAAAGATGTGCTCTCCCCAGCTTTGTTTAGTGGCTGTAGAGTGTACCATTATAAATATGCTACTTCAGCAAAAAAAGTGAAATGAAATATTCTGCCTTATAATTTACTGTTAAATATCAGTGTTGTAAATCTGCAGGCAGACAGCTGGGGTCCTGAACCCAGCACAACAAGAAATCTGTCTTTTTTTCATGCTTTGCCTCACGCCCAGTCTTTAAAGGAAAAGCAAAGTTATATGGACTGGACAGGCTGTCTTCTGTCAGACTGGATGGGTGTAAAGGCTAAAGAGGCCAAGAAAACAAAACACTTATCTTCAGTTTTTGTCAACAGAGGAAAAAAGATGAAGGTCAATAATGAAAGGATCAAGCAAATGAACCACTCTGTCTGCAGAGCTCTCCTTAAAATATACTGTGAATCAGACTGTACAGCAAGTATTCAGTTTCCTCACTTTCTACTCCATATTTTGCCCCTGAAGGTTGTTGATGGTGCTACTGCTTTTGAAAACGGTTGACTTTTTTTTTACTGTTACTGTGGCACCAAGCACAACTGCTTTCACCACAGGCTAAGAAAACCAAAAAATTCAATTTCAAGCAAAAAAAAGGATAGAGCCTGTCTTATAAAAATAGTGAGTTTAGGAGCATGCTGGGTAACTGCTTCAGGTTAGTAAGGCATTTGGCCTCATTCTGTCCTGCATTTGTAGCATGCCCCTCTATCTTTACTGATATCCTTGAGGTGGTTGTTGGTACCATAATGCAGGTTGTGTCCAGTCTCCTGTTCTTCATTAGCATTTTAGGATCCCTTATATTGAAGCTAAGAGCAAGGTAAGAGGAAAACAAGATGGAGGGAGGGAAGGGGATTCCAGGCTATCAGATCTGGGAAGGTTTGCTGAGTTTTGGGTAAGTTGAGTGGGACCTTGGGTGAACAGGACTGTGGCTATGACAGAAGGTCCTTGCTTGGGGAAATGCTTGTGAAGGGTCTGTCTAGGGAGGTGTTAGAAGGGTCTGTGGTTCTTGTAACTGGAGATAGTGGTTTGGAAATTCTCAAATATCATATAGTAGGGACACTTCTGTGAACTCCATGTAACTGCTTTTTTAATTTTTTTTCTAAGCATTTAAAAAGGAAGAGAAAAAGAAATATCAGCTTCTTGCTACACTTCATCTAGCAGCTGTCTGTCCTGCTCATTGGAGGTGCCTGTCTGTGTGTGAGTCCATGTGCCAGGCACGTGTTGTTGGCACAGTGTGACATCTCCTGGGCCTGCTCTCCCCAGTTTTCCACTGCTGTAGCATCTGTCATGTCCCCCTGCTTTATCAAGATTTGAGAACTGGCAGTTTCTTGTTCTCTCTCCTTTCTTTGCTAGTAGACAGTTTATTTCACCACTGTTCCTTGGATGTTGATTTCATATGGGAATGGCTGATGAAAATGGAGTCTCTTTGCAGTCATGAGATCAGATGCAATTTTAGTAAATCATCCCCAATTTCTGTAAGGTGGAAGCAGTCTAGTCTTTTCTGCTGCTGTTGCAAAGATAACAGGGTTGGCAGTTGCTGATTTATTTGAGTAAATTAGTAGTGCCATATGATGGTTTTAGGATTTCTCCCTTCTAAACCAATCTGCTAAACCAGAATTTTAAACCTCGCCAGTGAGATGGAGCTGTGCCTGGGGTGGAGTGTGACAGCTGTTTAGCAGCATGTAGGAACTCTGTGTCTGAGTCCAGGAGGAGGTTAGAACACAGCTCGTATGAAGGGACCGAGGTACTGAGCCTCTTCCGAGCCTTTCACAGCCATCTTCTGGTGTGCAGGAGGCAGCCTGTGAGAACTGCAGCCTGTGCTGCAGGCTTGTGTCACAGAGCCACAGCTCTTGGCCAGGCCGATTGGAAAATCCACCTCTGCAGGGGGACCTGAGCCAGGAGAGGGGGCAGGGAGCACCCCGAGCCG